GGATCGAGTCCCGCATCGGGCTCCCTGCTCGGCAGGGAGCCTTCTTCTCCCTCTGACCCTCCCCCCTCTCATGTGCTCTCTCTCTCTCATTCTCTCTCTCTCAAATAAATAAATAAAATCTTTAAAAAAAAGAAAAAAGAAATTAGAGATTTAGGATTGATTCAATTCAGTGAGTAATTTAAGAAGCAAGAGGGGTGTGTGTGAGAGTGAGTGTGTGTGTTTGAGTAGTAAATCTGGGTCCAGTCTAATGTATACTGTGGAATGGATATCAAAGACTTCTGACAGCCCAGATCCACAGAAAGCAGGGCTGTGTAGAGAAAACATAAGCACGTTTGCCTCCACAGAGGCAAGTTACCTCTGGCTTCTGTGGCCATTGTCTGCTGCTCCGTGTTTGAGGGGTAGACATGTAGATTCTACAAGTCTCCGTAGTCCACTTGGATTCTTCCAAGGGCTACTGCTAACTAGTTGCCTGATCTCCAAAAACTCATCTTGCATCTTTGGGTCTCAGCTTCCTTGTCTGTCAACAGAACAGGGTCCATCTCATGATCTCTAGAGCTCTTCCGATTTGGAATTCCGTAACTCTGATGTCAACGCCTGGATTCCTTTCCATGCTGGGGGGCTGGGGGTCAGTTCACGCCCCGCCCTGGGGTCACTTGTGCTTCCCTTGGGAACAGCACCACAGACTCCACATGCCCCTTGTTGACCGCTGGGTGGTGAAATCATAACATTTGTGAACGACGGAACATCACAGGAGATGGGAAAAGGAAAATCACTACTATGAAGGACAAGGATGGTTTTCATTCCCTATATTTTGTATTGCTTGCCTACTAAGTGCCAAGTATTGTTCTAAATAGTTCTAAGCAGACATAGTCTCTGCTGTCGAAGGACTGAAATTCCCAGAGCTTCAGCATTAAACTGCGATTAATGAAAATAAGTGCAGAGAATTAGGAATTAGGAACTGCTTCCCTACTCGAGTACTCTTCAATGGCCTCCTACTGGTTTCCTGACTCCTTTCTCTCCTTTCTGCCTCTTCTATCAAACTAATCTTCTTAAAATACCCCTGAAGCTAAAATGCCTCTAAGGTCTTTCCCTGGGACCTTTCATTCTGTAATGAAATCCAGGCTTCTTAGCTCTCCATGAAGTCCCTCTGCAAACTCAAGGTACTCACTTTTCTGAGTCCTTCAACCAAATTAGCCTATTGGTGGGCTCCCCAGTCGCTTCTTGGGTTTTCTGCCTCCATATATCTTTTTGTTCTTTTAACGATTTAGCGGTTCGATTTAAAACTTACTAAAGGAATACACACTTATTTTAAGAAGTGAAACAATATAGAGATATGAAATGCGTTAGTAATCTCTTCTTCATCCCCCTGCATTTCATTCCCTCTGACAGAAGCACATTTTTGTTTCTCCAGATTGAAAGGAAAATCACAGGAGTAATACAGAGAACATCCATACACCCTTTACCCAGATTCACCAATTTGTAACATTTTGACACCTTGGTTTTGTTCCTTCCCTGCCTCTCTCTCTCCCCGCACCCACCCCCAACTCACATTGTTAATTTTTTTCCTTCGTTATTTACATAGTTTACAGACATCATGCCTCTTTCCCCCTTAATGTTCCAGTGTGTGTTTCCTAAAAACAAGAATATCCTCAGTGTAGTTATCAACTTCAGGAAATTTAACATCCATACAACACTTTTATCTAAATTCCATACTCTAATCTTTTTCAATTGACCCAATTCTGTCTTTTACAAAATCCCCCCCCGGCCATCCTGTACAGGATCTGGTCTAGGATCATAAATTACATTTAGCTCTCATGCTTCTTTAGTTCCCTTTAATCTGAAATCTCGTTCTTCTTTGTCCTTCATGCCAGTGACATTTCTGAAGAATAAAGTCAGGTTTCATTATTTTAGTTTTTAATAATAAAGTATTTTCTACTTTATATGTATTTATATTTTAATAATAAAATACTTTGAGTCTGTCTGATGATTTTTCCCTATCTTTTAAAATGTCATTTCCAGGGCGCCTGGGTGACTCAGCCGGTTAAGCATCTGCCTTCAGCTCAGGTCATGATCCCGGGGTCCTGGGATGGAGTCCTGCATTGAGCTCCCTCCTCACCGGGGAGTCTGCTTCTCCCTCTACCTTTCCCCCTACTCGTGATCTCTCTCTCTCTCTCTCACTAATAAATAAATAAAATCTTTTTTTAAAAATGTCATTTCCATCTGAGGAAATGCCTTTCTATCTTCTCAAGTCCTACTTGTCCTTCTAGGCTTAGCTATAATCCCTTCTTCTCTGGCCCTTCCTGGAGGCCAGAGAGTACCTCTTAGATTTCTTTACATCTGCTGAGACACCTAGTACTGTGCTTAGCACACATGGGGCAATTAATAAATGTTTGTTGATTAATTGATTTGTGGCTGAGACATGAGTACTATCCCCTGCAAAGACATAACTCGTCATGTATGCTCAGCAAGTCAAGATTGGTATCTTTGCTGCCGATTGCTTCTGGGGTTTTGCAGTTATTGAGGTAAATTTTGGATTCAAAACCTGATTCCTTGACTATAGGTTTGCCACACCATGGAACTGTGGGGAAAGTGATGTTTAAAAGGTTTCACAATAGATAATTTAGAGCGTGAAATAAAAGTAATTTTCCCTATTTCATTCCTCCCAAATTTTAGAAAACTGCAAAAGTGTTAAGTTTAAGAAAAGGTTTTAAAGATTAATGAACCAAAACTGTTTGAATTGCAGTCTAGTATCTTTCAATGTAGTCCTTAATGTTATCAGCGTACAGAAGGTTGAAGAAGGCTAGTTTGTTTAGCAAATAGGCTCTACAAAGGAGATGCTAAATTATAAATTGAGAGAATGCTTTCCTACTAAACACTATCCATTTGTCAACATCAAACAAACCTTTTTGCCCTTGCCTGAGAAAGCACTAGACTCTTATCAAGTCTTGGCAAATTTTGAAAATCACATGGTTGTTCAATGCCTCCATGTGGTAGAAAAAAATAATTTAGCTCTGTCCTATCTTCCTGTGATAGCAAAATTCAGGACCACTAAAGTCTAACAATGCTTAGGGTCCTTCAAAGGGATCAGTGTTTTTTTAAAAAAGGCCTACAGAAAAACGACCTGAATTGAAGATAAAAGCCCTAGATCTCATTAAGCTTCATGGAATTGACCCTTCTTTGCGAACCTTCCTTATCTTTCTCTATAAGGAATGCATTTTTCAGGCAAAGGAGCATCATAAAATAAATCAAGTGGACTGAAATCTGCAGTGAGTCCATATTTTCAGAAAGCTTTATAGGAATTCTTTTTAAATTCCTAACATAAGATTTTTTTTTCTTTTGACAGAAAAAGGAAATCCTTTCTATCCAGCCATAAGGCAAGTTTAAAAACCCATAATAACAAGTGTTAATTTGCTTGACAGTGCTTTAGATGTGAAATTGGCCAAAGAGAACAGTCGCCTTTATGAAACACTTGAAGTTCAGTGTAAGCAACAAGCCAAAAATAGGAGTGCTCAAAAGTTAGACTGGGTTTCTTTCTTCTGAATCAACTATATCATTTCACCTACTAGGGATCAGTCAGCACCTTGATCTTCAAGTGCTTCTACTTAAAAGTACTTGATACTCTAAAGACGGCTTGAAGAAAAGAGTTGGATTATTCTGAGAATCAGGAATAGGTATTAGTAAAAACTGAAGCCCACTTTCTCAAAGCTCAGAGATATCAGTGTTATATCACTTGGGCTTCTGTGACTGGATGCATCTTTTAAATGTAAATTGAGCATTCCTATCTAAGCATCCAATGTATATGTATGCATTTGCCTGAGCAAACATAGCTGACCACAGGGTTGGGGGAGGGGCAGAGGGATATTTTCCTGGCATACCTTTTGATTTCTTTAAAATAATATAGTGTGAGGGCCGCCTGGGTGGCTCAGTCGTTAAGCGTCTGGCTTCGGCTTGGGTCATGATCCCAGGGTCCTGGGATCGAGCCTCACATCGGGCTCCCCGCTCAGCGGGAAGCCTGCTTCTCCCTCTCCCACTCCCCCTGCTTGTGTTCCCACTCTCGCTGTGTCTCTCAAATAAATAAAATCTTTAAAAAAATAAAATAAAATAAAAATAATATAGCGTGAGAATGTATGACCTATTTAAAATATATCCATAAATATGAAATAAATAAACAATGACGATTATTCTCAGAATGGGGAGTAGGGAACTTCAGTAGTGGTCATTGTTTTAAGTAAATGTTGTAAAAGTAGTTATTCCTTTAACTTGCTTCCATTTTGTCACTTTCCCATCTGTCTTGATTTTTAATATGTTCTTTTTTTTTTTTTTTAAGATTTTATTTATTTATTTGACAGAGAGAGAGCAGGAGAGCACAAGCAGGGGGAGCAGCAGGCAGAGTGAGAGGGAGAAGCAGGCTCTCCGCTGAGCAGGGAGCCCGATGCATGACTCAATCCCAGGACCCTGGGATCATGACCTGAGCCGAAGGCAGTCGCTTAACTGACTGAGCCACCCAGGAGCCCAACTATCAATATGTTCTTGAAAATATTATCCAATTTTTAAAAAAGATTTTATTTTTGAATAATCTCTACATCCAATGTGGGGCTCGAACCTACAACCCTGAGATCAAGAATCACTTGCTCCACCGACTGAGCCAGCCAAACACCCCCCAAAGCTCTTCTATATTTAATACATTTTTAAAAAGATTTTATTTGTTAATTTATTTTGAGAGAGAGAGAGAAAGTGAGAGAGCACAAGTAGCGGGGAGTGGCAGAGGGAGCAGCAGAGGGAGAGGCATAAGCAGAGGGAGAGGCAGAAGCAGGCTCAGAACCGACTGAGCCACCCAGGTGCGCCTTAATACATATTTTTTTTTTTTTAAAGATTTTATTTCTTTATTTGACAGAGAGAGCACAAGCAGGGGGAGTGGCAGGCAGAGGCAGAGAGAGAAGCAGGTTCCCCGCAGAGCAAAGGAAGCCTGATGTGGGACTCGATCCCAGGACCCCAGGATCATGACCTGAGCCAAAGGCAGTTGCTTAACCAACTGAGCCACCCAGGCGCCCCTTAATACATATTTTTTAATGTAATTGAGGCTTCCCCCTCCTCCACCCCCAATATCATCCTTAGGCAGCATGACCCATAGCCACAATTTTGCCATCAACTTACTGCATGACCTTGTACAAGACATACAGGCTTTCTTTGCCTTAATTTCTTCACCTATAACACTAGGAATTTGAACTTGAATATATCTTAGGCCCCTTCTAGTAAATAAAATTCTATGGTTCCTTGACTCTCATAGGAAGTTTTTTATATTTGTCATCAATTCTAAGTCATAAAGTCTCCATGTCCTAACAAAATTCCTGAGAATTAGTATCAGGGTGGGATTATTAATAATTTACTTTGCATAACAGTTAACAAACCATCTTTATTATAGAGCCACATTTGATTCTTCTAACAACTCTGCCAGTCAGTACAGCACAGGTAGTCTTGCCCTTTATAGACGGGGAAACTGAGGCTCAGGGAGGTCAATTTAACTCCTTAGGCCTTGTAGCTAATAGGTAAAATTGGAAGGTTGCAAATGAATTTTTAGTTTTTTATAACTGAGACAACTGTATATTTAAAATAATCTGATGTAACGATTAGTCTTTTGAGAGCAGTGAATTCTTTTCTAAACATTTTAAGGTTTTCATTCCCCCTCAGTAAGTCATTCTCAAACCATAAAGCACTAACCAGGGTTAGAGAAAAGGACTAGTACACAAAAGAGGGCTACTATCCTTCTAGACTGGTGGTTGGGAAGACACTTCTCTTATAGAGGGGGAGCCCTTCAATTACATGATTTATTTCCCCAGGGACAGATCCAATCCAAGCATCAACAATGCAACACAAACTACCATGGTCAGGTGTTTTTTTTTTGTTTTTTCTTTAAATATTATTATATTTAGTATCTAAGTATATGACATATGCAAACCAAAATTAAAAAAAAAATTCACACACCATCCTGGTCATATCAGCAAATCAAACCTATTATTTTCCTGTATTCTCTGCCAGCTGTCTTCTTTATACATATATGATTTTTTACTGGGTGTACTCATAGTGTGTACATGTAAAGTATCAGAAATTCAAATTTTTGGAAGAGGAAATCTCAATTTTAATAACTTTATTTTCTTCATCCCAACTCAGTTTATTTCATATTTGCTTATTTTCTCTTGAATTTATGTATTTTTCATCAGAAGCATAAAAAATATACAAACTTGTTTTTTTTTTAAGATTTTATTTACTTATTTGACACAGAGAGAGAGAGAGAGCCGCATAAGCAGGGGGGAGTGGCAGGCAGAGGAAGAGGGAGAAGCAGGCTCCCTGCTGAGCAGGGAGCCAGTCATGGGCTCTATCCCAGGACCCTGGCATCCTGACGCTTAACCAACTGAGCCACCCAGGCGCCCTACAACCTGGTTTTAGAGAGATTTTTTGGTTGTTGTTTTCGAATAACATACAGCAGGGAATGTCATTTAAAAATATATATATATACTCTATCAGGACTCCTGAAACCAAACGTTTAAGTGTGGGGATCTTTCAAAATTTCTATACATTTGAATGACTGAGAGATAGCTCTGTCTGAAGGTAGGAGGCTGGAGGCTGAAATGATGACCTATAAAGTTTTTCCCAGCTTTTGGACTTCTTGAGTCTATGACAATTCCTGGTAGATAAAGGTTTCCTGGTAAGCATGCACAATTACTTTGAGTCCTGATAAAGTTGGAGTTTCAATATTGAAGCTATAAGGGGTTCAGGTGGTGGTAAGAGTGCTTGTTTTCCCGGTTAGTGGATTTGCCATAAGCTTTACACCTGTTGTGTTGCCCTATGGTAACTGAAGCCACTGTTGCCTTGGAAAAGGATGGCAATTTGAATGAGATAAGTTAGAGTGGCCCGTGGAAATCTGACTCACGGTCTCCTTAATGTACCAGACCCTGTGTATGTGGCATTGCACGTATACCTTCAGTTTCCTTCAACTGAAATGACAAGTGAGACACTAAATCATAATTTGATGCATTAATCTTTTTTTGATGGCTTAATCTTAACCTTGGTAAAAATGCTAAACAAGGAACAATTCATAAGAATTACTGAGTGATTATTCTAAAAATATTAAGATTATTTGAATAGCATTTATATTATTGTTGAAGCAGTTTCTGGAGTCCCAAAACTTTTGATCTAATTTCCAAAAATCCAACTTTCTATTTAAAGTAAACTAAACTATAAATAAATAAATAAATAAATAAATAAATAAATAAATAAAGTAAACTGACACCCAAAATTCTAAATCCAGTCTAATTCAGTAGTAAAGGGCTTTTTCCCAGTTACTTCACATTTGTAAGCCTGCTACACGTTGGTTTTACCTGTCACGAATCCTTTGTATCACTTTTATAAAACACCACTTTTTATAAAAAGTGACTAAAAGAATCTAAAATTGTAAAATTGCACGTGCCTGAGCAGAAAACTCCTACTTAGAGATTTTTCTCAACAGGCGTACCTAGACCGACCTCTGCTCTTAGCAGGTAAATTGCTAGAGGGAGAAGCCAGTGTCAGCTCAAAGGGAAACCCTGTTGTGGGATTTCTTTTTTCCCCTTAAACGGATCACTTTTTAGGGGGAGTTTCCACTGCATTCTCTAGTCCAGAGTCCTTCCCACCAAATTACTACCTTCCCCACCAATTTGTCACCCCCCCTTTCCAAAAGCCCTTATTGGAAAGAACTTCCTCTCGTGACCGCCCTATTCCATACAGTTCCTATCGCTCCCAGCGCTCCCCAGCTCGGAACGGCTTCCCCTCTCCAGCCCAGAATCCAGGTCCCCAAACCACTTGAGAGAAAATTCTCACCCCTCGCCCCCTTCACTGGCGTCCCGCGGCGGCGCTGGGGTGGGGGAGTGGGTGGGGAGGGGGCAGGGTTTCCCGGGGTCCCCTGTGTCCTCCTCGCGCCCCCCCCGGAGGTGTGCAGGGGGAGGGGAGAGCGGGTGGGTGGGACCGGGCCGGGTGGGGGAGGGGTGAGGGCGAAGAGGAGGAGGAGGAGGAGTGTGTGTGCGAGCGTGTGTGGCTGGGGGAAGCCATTGCCTGTTTAATAGTTGCTGTTGCTGCACTTCCGCTTCTCTCCCAGCGAGAGAGAGACACGAGTGGCCAGGCCCAGCCGCAGCCGCAGCAGCAGCCGCCGCGGCGGCACGGAGGAGCCAGACACAAAGAGAGGTACGGGGATCCCCCCCGCCGCCCGCCGCCCCCCGGGCGCGTCGCCGGGCCTCGGGGACACCCCTCGCCGCCTCCCCCGACCCGCGCCTCCCGGACCGCCGGGCACGGGGCTGGGGGGGGCGCGGAGAGGGGCCGAGGAGCCCCAGGGGTCCGGGGCCCGCCCGCGGGGGATGGGTAGGGACCCCGGGCCGCGTGGGGTGCGGGCCGCCCGCGT